CAGGATGCAACTTACAAAGTATCAACATCCTGGGACCCATTAAAGAGTTTAAACAAATTTGACCCCTGTGACCTTGAATATAAGTCAAAGTCATTCACTTTAACAAACATAGTAGTCCTTGATCCCATCATGCTACTGACTAAATATCAACATCCTGAGCCTTTTGGTTATTCATCAGAAGTTGTTTAAAGGTTTTTTAAGACAATTGACCCCTGTGACCTTGAATAAGGGTGAAGGTCATGCATTTGAACAAACTTGGTAGCCCTTAACCCAAGCATGCTACTGGCCAAATATCATCTCCCTGGGCAGTTTGGTTATCGAGAAGATGTTTAAAGTTTTGAACATATTTGACCCCTGTGACCTTGAAAATGGGTGAAGGTAATTAATTTTGACAAACTTTGTAGCCCTTCATCCCAGTTTGCTTCTGGCCAAATATCGCCGCCCTAGGCCTTTCGGTTATTGAGAAGAAGTTGTTTAAAGTTTTTAAAATATTTGACCCCTGTGACCTTGAATATGGGTGAAGGTCATTTATTTGAACCAACTTTGTAGCCCTTTATCTCAGAATGCTACTGGCCAAATATCATTACCCTGGGCATTTTAGTTATTGAGAAGAAGTTGTTTAAAGTTTTTAACATATTTGACCCCTGTGACCTTGAATATGGGTGAAGGTCATTCATTTGAACAACGTTGTAGCCCTTCATCCCAGCATGTTACTGGCCAAATATCATCACCTTAGGCCTCTCAGTTAATCAGAAGAAGTTGTTTAAAGGTTTTAAACATATTTGACCCCTGTGACCTTGAATATAAGTCAAGGTCATTTATTTGAACAAACTTGGTAGCCCTTCATTTCAGCATGTTACTGGCCAACTATTATCACCCTAGGCCTCTTGGTTATTCAGAAGAAGTTGTTTAAAGGTTTTAAACATATTTGATCCCTGTGACCTTGAATATAAATCAAGGTCATTCACTTGAACAAACTCGGTAGCCCTTCATTTCAGCATGTTACTGGCCAACTATTATCACCCTAGGCCTCTTGGTTATTCAGAAGAAGTTGTTTAAAGGTTTTAAACATATTTGATCCCTGTGACCTTGAATATAAATCAAGGTCATTCATTTGAACAAACTCGGTAGCCCTTCATTTCAGCATATTACTGGCCAAATATCATCACCCTAGGCCTTTCGGTTATTCAGAAGAAGTCGTTTAAAGGTTTTAAACATGTTTGACCCCAGTGACCTTGAATATAAATCAAGTTCATTTATTTGAACAAACTTGGTAGCCCTTCACTTCAGCATGTTACTGGCCAACTATCATCACCCTAGGCCTCTTGGTTATTCAGAAGTTGTTTACAGGTTAAAAACATATTTGACCCCTGTGACCTTGGATATAAGTCAAGGTCATTTATTTGAACAAACTTGGTAGCCCCTCACTTCAGCATGTTACTGGCCAACTATCATCGCCCTAGGCCTCTTGGTTATTCAGAAGAACTTGCTTAAAGATTTTAATGTATTTGACCCCTGTGACCTTGAAAATAGATGAAGGTCATTTCTTTGAACAAACTTGGAAGCCCTTGATCCCAGCATGCTTCTGGCAAAATATCATCCCCCCAGGCCTTTTGGTTAATGAGAAGAAGTTGTTTTAAGTAAAAAGTTGACGCCGGACGGACGCCGGACGCCGCACCATGCCATAAGCTCACTTGGCCCTTTGGGCCAGGTGAGCTAAAAACTCACTTGCTTTTCAACTAGTGCTTTAATTCTTCTGTTCATGATAATTTCCATTCGATTTAATTCTAATTGTATACAATTATGAAAAGTGTGATCATTGTTAGTACCTGCACTTTACATAACGTATCATTTCATACCATGTAATTTTGTCATTAATAAGATTGATGAAGATTAAATAAATGTTTATAACATGTCAAGCTTGTTTATAACAATATTCAATGTCATAAAATGACACATTGGTTACATTTCATTTATTGTAAAGGTCCGGTCAGACGACTATCGTATTCACGTTTGTTTTGTTCTCTACAAATGCAAATACGATACCGAGACACTTTACGATATTTTTTTGTGGTCTAGACACGACACAAACCATCTCGATGGAGGCCAGTAAGGTCTATCAATAACATTCACATACAACGTCATTTCAAAGCATGCAATTCGGTTATAAATGACATTTCATGATGTAAATAAACTATTTTATGAACGAATCAGCCTCAATGCGTTATTTCGGATAAAACTCGTTATGTATTATTGTAATAACTTAAGTTCAATTTACATTTCTTAAGAACAAATCCATTAAAATGCAGTGACCTCTAAAGTAGGTTGAGGTCATTTTCATTCGCAAACTTTGTTGGGCTCCATCCCAGGAAGTCACCAGCCAAATATTATAATTTCATGCCTTTTAATTCTTCAGAAGTAGTTTGAACTGTTAGACATATTTGAATGCTGTGACCTTGAAAGTAAGTCAAGGTCATTTTCATTCGCAAACTTTGTTTGGCTCTTTCCCAGGAAGCCACCTGCCAAATATTAAGATTTTATACCTTTCAGTTCTTCAGAAGAAGTTGTTTGAAGTGTTTGACATATCTGCCTCATGTGACCTTAAAAGGAGGTCAAGGTATTTCCATTCTCAAACTTTATTGGGCTCTTTCCTCGGAAGCTACAAGCCAAATATAAAGATTCTATACTTTTCAGTTCTGCAGGAGAAGTCGTTTGAAGTGTCGGACACATTTGACCCCTGTGACCTTGAAAAAAGGTCAATGTCATTTTCATCCTCAAACTTTGTTGGGCTCTATCCCAGGAAGCCATCAGCCAAATATGAAGATTCTAACCTTTTAGTTCTTCAGAAGTTGTTTGAATTTTTTGACATATTTGACCTTGAAAGAAGGTCAAACTAATTTTCATTCTCAAACTTTGTTGGGCTCTTTCCTCGAAAGCTACAAGCCAAATATAAAGATTCTATACCTTTCAGTTCTTCAGGAGAAGTCATTTGAAGCTTTTTACCCATTTGACCCCTGTGACCTTGAAAGTAGGTCAAGGTAATTTTCATTCTCAAACTTTGTTGGGCTCTATCACAGGAAGCCACCAATCAAATATATAGATTCTATACCTTTCAGTTCTTCAGAAGTCATTTGAAGCTTTTGACATATTTGACCCCTGTGACCTTGAAAGTAGGTCAAACTAATTTTCATTCTTAAACTTTGTTGGGCTCTAGCTATCCCAGGAAGCAACCAGCCAAATATAAAGATTCTATACTTTTAAGTTCTTCAGAAGAAGTTGTTGGAAGCATTTGACATATTTGACCCATGTGACCTTGAAATAAGGTCAAACTAACTTTTATTCTCAAACTTTGTTGGGCTCTATCCCAGGAAGCCACCAGCCAAATATGAAGATTCTATACCTTTTTGTTCTTCAGAAGTTGTTTGAATTTTTTGACATATTTGACCCCTGTGACCTTGAAAGTAGGTCAAGTTCGTCATTTTCGTCACCTTCGGGCAGGTGAGCTAATATCAAGGTTCAGGTTGAAGTCTTTTAATGAGACCTACTGAAATTTCACTGACCCTACTATTTCTTAGGGGAAGAATATACTTAACGCTACTCCTCCGGAACACTTGCTCTTAATCTCCTTGTATGTTTTCAAGGGTCTCCCTGTAATTTTGTTTTTTTCACATATAGCTCCAATTTTATCTATTTTGAGTACAAGGTACTGTTTTGTGGACACGTCGGTATTCAGCATTCTATATTGTTGGTGTCCGAGGGTAAAAACGCTACAGAGCTAGAATGGGATTTGATCCCTGGACCTCACAATACCATCGGCCTAACCTGGAGATAAGTGATTGTGCTCGGGCCAAGTCTAACTAGATAGTTCTCAGGCCAAGTCTAACTAGTAATATCTAATGAAATTGAAGGGGATGTTTCCTGTTTATTTGGCCTGGTCCAACTTTCGCTCTTTGCTAAAACAAACATTCACCAAGTGTTTGTTCAACCTTCCACACTGAATTACTGTATTTAAGTTGTTCCACCGTCCTCACTTAATTACTGTATTTAAGTTTTTCCACCTTCCACACAGAATTACGGTATTTAAGTTGTTCCACTGGCCACACTTAATTACTGTATTTAAGTTGTTGCACCTTCCACACTGAATTTCTGTATTTAAGTTGTGTCACCGTCCACACTTAATTATTGTATTTAAGTTGTTGCACCTTCCACACTGAGTACCTTCCACACAGAATTATTGTATTTAAGTTGTTGCACCTTCCACACTGAGTACCTTCCACACAGAATTATTGTATTTAAGTTGTTGCACCTTCCACACTGAGTACCTTCCACACAGAATTATTGTATTTAAGTTGTTCGACCTTCCACACTGAATTACTGTATTTAAGTTGTTCCACCTTCCACACTGAATTACTTTTTTTTATGTTGTTCCACCTTCCACACTGAATTACTGTCTTTAAGTTGTTCCACCGTCCACACTTAATTACTGTATTTAAGTTGTTCCACCTTCCACACCGAATTACTGTCTTTAAGTTGTTCCACCTTCCACACTGAATTACTGTATCTAAGTTGTTCCCCCTTCCACACTGAATTACTGTATTTAAGTTATTCAACCTTCCACACTGAATTACTGTATTTAAGTTATTCCACCTTCCACACTGAATTACTGTATTTAAGTTGTGTCACCGTCCACACTTAATTACTGTATTTAAGTTGTTCCCCCTTCCACACCGAATTACTGTCTTTAAGTTGTTCCACCTTCCACACTGAATTACTATATTTAAGTTGTTCCACCTTCCACACTGAATTACTGTATTTAAGTTATTCCACCTTCCACACTGAATTACTGTATTTAAGTTGTTAACTAATAAATGCTGTCACTATAAATTCGCCCTCATTATCATTAAGGATGAAAAAAAATGCAAAAATTTAAATGTGGCATAAATATCCCGGTGTATTGTAAAGTATGTAAAATAATTGAGACCATACACCTTACATTTGATGTATTTTACTTTCATGTAATTTTATTATATCATCAAGAATATCATTACATGTGTACAAGTTCATTTTTACAATTTGGTGTATTAAATTGTAATGCTTAATGCAATTAACAGCACTGAAGCCTTAACATATTAAACACATAGCTAAATCTACAATTATACCTGTTAAATTCTCAACACTGAAATAAAGGTCATAGAAGGTCAAAATAATTATTCTGACTGTTAATTGCAGGTCATTTAAGGCTGTACACTTTCAAAAGCCATCAAACTATTGATAAGGCATTTAAACTATTTACATACACATACCTTATATTATACGCTTTTTCAACATCTAAGGCTTTTAAAAAGGTGATTTTTCAATACATTTCAGATGTTGCAATAAGCAGTGCAGTGCGGATTCTAAAACGCACCACAATCTGTTCAGGTTTATGTAATCATCCACAGGTTCCTTCCAGGCACAGTTCCACTCCTAGTATATCATGTCTATTTGACTAAGTTGTTAATGAGTAAACTATGCAAAAATACACAGATGACTTGCCAGGTACTAATTGCTAGAGACAAAACATAAGGTCATGTTAAACTTCAGTGTTTCCAGGCACAGTTCCACTCCTAGTATATCATGTCCTTTTGAATAAGTTGTCAATGAGTAAACTATGCAAAAATACACAAGATGACTTGCCAGGTACTAATTGCAAGAGACAAAACATTAGGTCATGTTAATTAAATTCCAGTGTTTCCAGGCATCGTGTAACCTTGTATGATACCACAACTGTACTTATAGCAAGACATTACTACAGCCGGGCACTACTGACACCCAGCATCACTAACAGTCAGACATTACTACGTTTTTGATGAGCAAACGATGTAAATCCTATAATCGGCACCTCGGATTGATGACTTTGTTATTGCTCAATAAGCACAGCTCTCAGTCTACCATTGTCACTGGTCAGATACCCATTATCCATTAAATAAGATGAGGCGACGTCATCCGTGGCAAATTTGGTGCATGATCGTCGTAAATAGTGCCATTAACTGGAGGTACTCATCTGCCCCATCTATCAAACACTTGTCCACAACCTGGAATACATTGGCAGGGCAATCTTTTAACATATGCTAAGATCACCACAACTTTTATGATCACAGATGTGGAAACACTACTATCATATAAACCCATTCCCAGTTTTACCTTACTAACATGCAGAGTTAAAAGCTTGGTAATTAGCCTACTGTATACGTAATTACCGTTGCTGGTGAAAGGTCTTTCTCATTTTAATATAAACTTTATTTCATTTCTTTTTTCATTTACAGTATAATGTAAAGCAATACACAATTGTTGGAATTGGATTTGGAAACAACTTCTGTAGTAGATCCATCTCCAGTGGAAGAAATACATGAGATTTGAGGACCATCTATTTTATAACTATAAGGATTTTTTTTTAGATGACAGTGACCCTTGTTATCTAACCTATAATCTGACATCCTGTGTAGTCCGATATACTTTTGTATAAGTCCAATTATTAAACAAAACTACAAAATAGGACCTGTGTATTCCGACATCCCTTTCAATCTGACCAATATATTGTGCCCCACAGACTGCCAGATAAGACTAATAAAATCTGTTACCTATAACTGAGCGAGATCGTGTTATCTCAGTCGAGGGTTTAAGATTCTTTTACAAAATCCCAACCGAGGCATAAGCCGAGGTTGGGATGTTACAGAATCTTAGTCAGTTACAGGTAAAAAAAAATATTCTCGCACCTTTTAATTCGAAAACTATTTAATTTTGCTAAAAACTATAAGCATCCCGCCTTGGGCCTCAAATGATAATGAGCTCTTCACCACTAAAGCTACATTTGAATGCTTCCGCGTAAAAATGTAATCCGTCCTTACATATAGATTACAACGTATTTCATAGTGTAGATTATGTTTTATCTCATTTTTGTGTTGATTTAGTAAATGCAAAAACAACCACTTGTACTTGATTAAGTCTTGGTAAGTAATTATATATACAGATATCTACCGATTTATTTCACCTATGTATTAATACTTACCGCAAGCTTTTCAAAGATGACTGCTTTCTGCTTATCTGTAAGGTCTTCTTTTTCTATCAACTTCTCGTGCAACTGTGTAATGACTTGTGAGGCTGAGTAACCGTCATTAATCAGACCCTGTGTAGGAAAATAAATAGGGTAAAAACGGTCCAATCAAACATCAACTGGGATCCAATTAATTGTCAGGATTAATATTAGACAGGGTGTCAAAATACAAAGGTTTCTTTCGCTGGTTTCTATAAGAAATGAGAATACTGCTGAGTGTAAGAATACTTAGGGGTCAGATTATACAGGTTTTAATTTTCACATAACTATAAATGCTAGGCTGAACATGTTCAAATTTGTTTTATTCCGACAGGATGACCTTCAGATATTTGTGGAATCAACTTTTATTTTAAATATTGGGAAACTTTTCCCCCTAAAAAAGGAATTCAAAATAGACCAGAACTGCTACGTAAAAATCATATGATGATTGGTTTTAAGTGAGTTTTAAGAATGAGCTGTTTCTATAAGGGGATACCATTGATTGTGCTGAAGTAGTTAATGTCAACAGGGTTTCAAGGAAGACAACTCTTACTATAGGGAATCTAGACAGGTGAAAAAGATACTCTGCCCATATACATTTTTATACGATAGGAAATTTCATTATCGTAGATTTGATTTTACAGATTTCAGTTACAAAATGTTGAATTGGAGCCCTAGTAAAATTAGCAAAAGGTACTCCATATTTTTTTTTATGAAATACAAAAATTTAACAGATTTTCAGATTTTAGCTACAATATGTTCTAATCAGAGCAGCCCTATTAAAAAATAAAGGGTAAGCAGCTCATTTCTAAAAAAAACCTGAGGGCCTGTATTGTTCACCTGGATAATGAAGCAACACTGGAACTTTTTTCTTCTTACATATAATACTTAATAAACTATTTCCAAATATTGGCTCAGTCTCTCAGCAACACCCGTCCCTCATTAGGTCCCTTCTTTTTACTCCCATGAATTGGGATGGCTTTTTAACAGTAACTTCAATTTCCCTTATTAGGCCCTGCCCCTCTTCCCCCTAAAAACAGCCTACCATATATACGAAATTGAGCCCCCTATGCCCAAGGATGCTCTACACAAAATTTGGTTAAAATCCCTCCAATCATACTAAAGGAGAAGGATTTTAATCATGTATTACTACATTCCCTCTACTAGGCCTTGACCCTCTGCCCCAAGGGGATGGGGCACAATCTCATTTTCAACAAAATTGGCTCCCCCTTGCCCAAGGATGCTCTGGATCAACTTTGGTTAAAAACCCTAAAATGGTAGAAAAGTTTAAACCTCAAATTCCCCTATTTGGCCCTGCCCCTCAGCACCAATAGGGGCCACATCCTCTGTTTAAACAAAATTAAGTCCACTTTGCCCAAGGCTGCTCCAGGCCAAATTTGGATAAAATTGGATTACATTAATGTAACAGAAGGATTTTAAAGATTAAAACCTTAAATTTCTCTATTGGGCATCTTCTCTCTGCACCCAATGGGGACACATACCCTTCGTTTATACAAAATACAGTCCCTATTGCCCAAGAATGCTCCAGGCCAAATTTTGTCATAATCCATAAAGCTTTTCATGACTAGGAGCGTTTGAAAGGACAAGAGGCCCATGGGCAGAAATATTATTCAAAGTGACAAAAAACAATAAAACCACCTTATTCAATATCTAGCATACAGATTTAAGAATGATAAGTATTTGAAACTAGCACCTCTGATTCTAAACAAGGAAAATGATGAAATTTTAGCACACTGACCCCTTCTTTAGGCCCCACCCTTCAATCAAGTTGTTAACATGTAACATTCAAAATATCATTTTTCATTATTAACCATAATAAATTTTGCCCCCCCCCCTTCCCCAGGGGGTAAACGTGAGACCCTAGGGTCATAAACCTTAAGACCTTTCCATCTATGAAGAGTGTTTGATTCTACCATATCTTAGTCTTTGAGAAGATTTTTGAAATTTCAGTCAATTCAACGTTTTTTGGCCCAACCCATCAGGCCGGGGGGGTCAGACAGGGCTCATATGTGCATACCATCAAACTGCTATCCAATACTGATAATGCTAACCCAAATTGAAGAAGATTTTTGAAATTTCAGTCAATTTGACCCTTTTTGGCCCCCGCTTCTCGGGCCCCTATGGGGCTTGGGACCAAATCAGCCACTATTTTTGTTAACATTTGGCCATGGAAGGTTTCTGAAAAATTACAATGAAATTGGTTCAGGGGTTTTGGAGAAGAAGTTGAAAATGTAAATTGTTTACGGACGCATGACGAACGACAGGCGCTGGACGCCGCCGGGAAAAAGGCGATCACTATAGGTCACTTGATACTTTTGTCTCAGGTGACCTAAAAAGTTGACAAATGGAAGACAGACGCGTACGGCATAAGCTCACCATGGTCCTTCAGACCAGGGGCCTGTTCATGTATGTGGAACAAACATTTTGTCGGTTTATAAATGTAACATTTAGGGTATAAATCCTGGCGGACCTGCAAATGTATATGCAGGCCTTCCAAGGCTTTGTCAAGGCTCGCCTGAAAGCAAGTCCGACCCCATTTCATAAACGAACAACTCTGGTCCAACCGGTTTAACTGTTTAGACCGCAATAAGTGAAAATGGCCCAAGTGAGCAAAAAATGATGCAAAAAATACTTACTCGTAAACCGGTGTCCAGTTTCTCATACGAGTCTGAGCTACAAATCATAATCAAGTCATCTAAGACCTCATCTGGAACAACCTTCAAATGAAGTAGAAAAAAGATTGCAGTATACATGACAAGAGTCCAAGAGAGCCTAGCCTGTATTGGTCACCTGGACATGTTAGCAAAATTGAAGATGAAATAGCCAGATGTTGCTGTACATGTATTACATGGTTAGTCAGGGGTTATATTTATATGCAATTGGACAAAATCCTGTCATTCCTACAGGAAAAGGAGAATTTTGAAGAATTTGCTATATTTCCACTATAAGGCCCCACCTCTGCCCCCAGGGCAGGGGGTCAGACCCACCGTTGATACACAATTATTTCCCCTTCACCAAAGGATGCTTAAGACCAAATATGGACATAATCATGTGATTCCTACAGAAGAAGGATTTTAAAGGTATTTTTCTATTTTCCCTTTTTGGCCCCGTCCCTCTGTCCCAGGGGGTTAAAACTCACAGTTTATGCAAAATTGGTTTCCCTTAACCCAAAGGTGCTTCGTACCAAATTTGGACAAAATCCTGTCATTCCTACAAAAAAAGTATTTTGAAGAATTTGTTAGTTTTCCCCTATTGGGCCTCACCCCTCTGCCCCAGAGGGTCAGACCCAATGTTTATACAAAATACAGTCCCCTTTACCAAAAGATGCTTTAGACCAAATATGGAAAAAAATCTGTCATTCCTACAGACAAGAATTACGCGTAATTATATGTGTCGCCTGTCTCGCTTTGTCAATATAATAAGCATTGGACATAGTACATAAGGAAACGGACCTAAACGCAAAATTTTAAGTCCAGAAATTTCAGGTTTTTTTCCAAAAAAGTACAGAAATCCATGAGATGTTTTTAGAGTAGTAGGCTCTACTACCCATGATACATGTATGATTGAGGGGTTTGGTTGGTGTAGCTCTTATACTTTGTCAGAAAGAGCCTAAAATCCAGAAATTTGAGTTTTTTAGCCAAAAAATACAGAAATCGTTGAAATGCTAGTAAAGAGTGTAATGCATTAAGCTATACATCCCATGATACACCTATGACCCAAATTTGGTTGCTCTAGCATTTATACTTTGTCAGAAACAGCCTAATATGTAAGAGCTAAACGCAAAACCTTAACGTTGAGTTTTTTTCTAAGTCCAGAAATTTGAGTTTTTTACCAAAAAAATGCAGAAATCAATGAAATGTTTTTAGAGCAGTAGGCTCCACTACCCATGCTTCATCTATGATCGAAGTTTTGTTGGTGTAGCTTTGTCAGAAACAGTTTTAGTCCCTTTGCCCAAAAATGATCCAGACCAAATAGGGATGAAATCCCTTCATCCCTATGGTAGAAGAAGGATTTTGAAGGTTTTTACCTATATTTCCCCTATTTGGCCCCACCCCTCTGCCCCCAGGGGGGCCACACCCACTTTTTATACAAAATTGAGTCCCCTTGGCCGAAGGATGCTCAAGACTAAATTAGAATAAAATCACTCAATCTCTACGGTAGAAGAAGAATTTTAAATCCTCTAATTCCATTACTTGGCCCTGCCCCTCCGCCCCTCTGCCCCCAGGCGGGCCACACCCACTGTTTATACAAAATTGAGTCCCCTTGGCCGAAGGATGCTCAAGACTAAATTAGAATAAAATCACTCAATCTCTACGGTAGAAGAAGAATTTTAAATCCTCTAATTCCATTACTTGGCCCTGCCCCTCCGCCCCTCTGCCCCCAGGCGGGCCACACCCACTGTTTATACAAAATTGAGTCCCCTTGGCCGAAGGATGCTCAAGACTAAATTAGAATAAAATCACTCAATCTCTACGGTAGAAGAAGAATTTTAAATCCTCTAATTCCATTACTTGGCCCTGCCCCTCCGCCCCTCTGCCCCCAGGGGGGCCACACCCACCGTTTATACAAAATTGTGTCCCCTTGGCCTAAGGATGCTCCAGATCAAATTTAGTCAAAATCTTCTTGGCCGTTCAGGTCTAGAAGCGTTTTCAAGGAAAAGTTGACAGACGGACGGACGACAGACGCTGCGGTATGGCATAAGCACACTGTTGTCCTTCGAACCAGGTGAGCTAAATTTCCTAAATTTAAGTGATGCTTACCGAACATGACACAATACTGTAACTGCCTTATTGACTTACCCCTGCTATCTCATTGATGTCAGCTTCTGTAATGGTTTCCTCTACCTTGAGTCTAGAAGCACTCTGTAAATATGTAATGGCCTTCCTCAGGTCTCCTTCAGAAGTCCTCAGTAAAGCTTTGATTCCCTTTAAAGTTAAATATAAGTCACATTAATTTACCATTTCAACTAGATTAAAATATTCGAAGTATACCTCATTAACCCTTTCACCCCTATGTAACTTGTGTAGACTCTACCATCCATAGATCTGGATGAGTCCATTTTGGTCTACAGTGGTGAAAGGGTTAAGGTTGTTTAAGGTTTCCATCCTTGGAATGGCTAAGGTCACATGGAGATGGTTGGTATCCACAGATAATTGGGGCACTAAATGGGCCATACAAAACAGCCACCTGAAATGCCAATCTGGAAATTTTGCTATACAGTATCAAAATATACATGAAGATAGCACTTTTATCTTCAACAAGATTCATCAGTTTGGAAGTACATGTATGTCATATCAAAGTTTTACTTGATACATAATAAATGTACGCGTTAAATGTGTCTCAACGTTTTACGACCGACCGGTCCCTTTGTCAAGCTAATGACGGGTGAGAGATTTGTATTGTTTACCAGTACGACGATATGACGAAATTGTATATTTCTTATGTCACTTGACCCGGGACTTTTCCCTTATTAACAGAGAGCATATATACACACTGTATTAAATAGGTTACTGGTAGATAGCATGTTTAACAGTGTTTGGTACTTGATAACTTAAACTAATATGCATGTAAGAATTGACTGTTCAACTTCTACGTGATGTCTTTTACTTTATATAATGAATATACTTCTACTTTATTAATTCTACACGAAAGTAATTTGTTAAATGGATTGTTTTACTGCTTTAACTCTGGCCTCCCTGTCCAGGGAATTAGACTTCAATCCTTCTACCAGCCATGTTTTAGCTCGAAAACTAAAACGCCCCTGCAGACTAACTCCCACTTCTGTGTCCAGGGGTGCCGACTAATTCACTTGACAATACCAAAGTTGGGACTGTTTTAATACATTCCTGACCTACCAAAAGTGTGCAGTGTTATTTTATTTGTAAATACCTCATCATCACAGCTGACGTTTTCTTTTTCACAGATTCCCAGTAACCTCTTTGTCAGCGTTTCCTCCGACAATGGTTTAAAACGGAACTTGGCACACCTTGAAGCTATGGGTTCTATGATACGAGAGACATAATTACAAATCAGGCAAAACCGGGTCGTTTTGGTTTCCTTCTCCATCGTTCTTCGTAGTGCAGCCTGGAAACAATTAAAAGAATTTTTAATATAAATCATATTTTTTTTTTGATATTTATTTTGTTTATGTATATATAATTATGATCCCAGCAATAGGCTGTTTAATAATAAAATCTACCAACTGTACTAAGTCTGTATTTTTTGAAATTTTACCTTTGTAACTCCTTAGCCTTGATGATAAGCAACATTAAAAAAGGCTTGTCATTTTGAATTTCATTGGACCATGTTTAATGCTTTAAGTCAATATATTTTTAACACTTCAAGTGTTCATAAATTTAAAACTTTCAAAGAAAATTCTTTTTTACCTGTGCGGGAGAGGTCATTGAATCAGCTTCATCCAGAATGATGATTTTGAATGGCGGACAAGGTTTGCCACTTAAAACAAGAAAAAGTTATGAAAATTAAAATTTATACATATAGAGTATATGATTGTAACTAGCGTTTAAACATTTCTTTTTTGTATTTAAATGATATTTTCTTAAATAGGCAAGTTAAGGGACATAAGAAAAGTGGTCTGGGAAAGGGGGGTGTACTTCAGTGATTTCTTATAGAAGTTTTTCAGGCAAGTCCCGAACATTTCTTTCAAATTAATGATCAGTCAAATTACTAAGAGATACACTGTTGAGTTCTCAGAATGTTGACGAGTCTCGCAGGAAAAGCATGCATCCAGGACTCAAATTTTAGAGTCTCGAATAGTACTGTCTTCTATTCACTCTTCATTGAGAACAAAATGATCTGTTCTCCCTATACCAACATGCATGTGACACTTTGGAACTTTATTCATCCTTTTCCCCCTCATTTCTTCCCTCTGACGAGAAGGCTCCCTCGGCATTTCTGGTTGATATCCCACTGTCAGAATTATTTGACTGGGTGGGTACCCGTGTCATGCTGTCACATTATGACATTTCAGTGAGATGACACTTCAAAATTAATCTAGAGTGGCTCCATCATCTATACATGTACATGTGGTCATATAACCAAAACTGTTGCCTAGGCTACAGACGTGTAGGTAAGTGTATAGCATACATACTCCGGTCTTGTTCCACTGGCGGTGTGCTGTGAAAATCTCTTCACTTTATCTCGTACCACGCTGATTCCTCGCTCATCAGAAGCGTTTAACTCTAAAACTCGATTCCTGAACATTTCTGGCCTGAAATTCACAAAATTACACATATTCCAAATGTGGTTTGTCAGTCAGTTTGCATACAATAGTACACCCTTGGCTTTGATAAATATTGTAAATAATTATTGGGGTTACAACACAAAAAGTTTTTAAGGCTATAGTATAATTCAGGTAAAAAAAAACACTGCTATTATATCAACTAAACCATATTTATCACTTATATATTGAAAAATATATAGTTTATTGATCAAAAATAGTAAACCTAACTTCTGATCAAAAAGTTTCAGATTGTGTTCATAGTTTGGCACCTTTAACTTACCCAAACAAATCTCTGGCCGCAGCAAGGATGGTGGAGGTTTTACCTGTACCAGGTGGACCGTAGAACAGGAGGTTCGGCAGCTGGAAATCACAAACAAAACTCATTCACTTATAAGAGTACATGTACAGGTACTTGCCAAATTCTGAAAAGGTCAATTAACAACAAACTTATATATAGGTTCATACTTTCTCTATTGCTACCTGTCCTAGGTTTCATTCCTTAAACTTACATTGTTGGAAGATTTTGTAGAAGAGTATTTAATTGTTATGTTTTGAAACACTTGTCTCTATACAACATTATCATTAGTTTTAACATGTTCAAATAAAAGAAAAAATGACTATATTATATTTAGATCACAAAATCTATTCCATATATATGTACATACATGTATTTCTATTTGCCATTTATTTTAGTTCTAACTTTAATCAATATAACAATCTGTCCGCTAATGTTGAATTTCCTCAAATTATTGTCTTTCCTATCCAGTTATTGGTCTAAGCATCCCATTCCTTCACAATAATTAACAAATCTTGATCTATTTAAAGAAAGCTTTATAAAGATATGCCCTAAGTTTTAATGACATGACAAGTACAAAAGCCCTTGCTTATGTAACACTTACATCAGAACACTGCAAAGATTTTTTCAGAACTGCCACTACTTCATCTTGGTAAGCAACATCATCCACGCTTCGAGGTCGACTTAAAGAAAGTTTAAAGTGTACATCATAACATGTAAATTAATAGCTAGTCAGGTAAATCTTCGACATTATAGGTTATAAAAACATGAACTAATATTTAAAACTTCTCACAAAATTAAGATACTTGTTAAGTTAATCACAAAAAAAACACTGACTTTAAAATTAATTTTCAAGCGAAATTGTGAAGATATCGCATTGATGCAATCCTTATCTTATACCCCGATCACACATTCATGGATTGTCTTGCTAGATCCACTACAGAATGAAAGTCACAGATGACCCTGGAATAGTCTATATTCGTGGATGCACCACGGTTTGACTACAGATAGGGGCTAGTTCACAACGGGGAGTGATACGGATTGCTACGGTTCGGTACGGTTTAGTACGGAATGACATGTGTCAGGGTGTATGCACTGCAGATAAACAACAGTTCGCTACAATTTTAGTAATGGTTTGCACGAATTTGAACGGACTGGTTTGGTTTAATTTTGTTTTGTTTCTATTAACATGCAGCTAAGATAATTTAAGGACGTGCCTCCATGTGTGAAGTGTATGCGTGCTTTCGTGTGTGTATCCAGGAGACAGTGTATGTTGGTGTGCTTGCCTCCTTGTGATAGCACTGATCTGATGCCGACATTATAGTGCTATCTCACTGAAATACCATGCCGAAGGCGAATGCTCAACATTAAGGCCATAAGTGAGGCCCTAGGAAACAAGAGGCCCAATGGCCTTAACGGTCACCTGAGTCTACAGTATTAATTACTGTTGTTGAAATATGAAGTGGAGATAATGATGTCAATCATCCCTACCAAAATTTGAGTAAAAAAAAGTTTAGCGTAACTTTAAGTTAAGTTTGTCAGTAAAAAGAGTTGATCATTCCTAGACCGAGTTTCAGTTAATTCGGCCTATTAAAACTTGAAGTTTTAAATAGTTTTTTTCAAAATGGCAGCCATGGCCGCCGTATTGGATTTTTGATGATCCTGAAAAAAAACCTTTTTGCCGGCCAGGACCATGAGTTTATCATTCCTACAAAGTCCAAGTTAAATGGGCCCAGTAGAACTTGACTTAAAGTTTGAAATAGTTTTTCAAAATGGTTGCCATATTGGATTTCTGATCGACCCAAAAAATAACAACATTTAGTCAGAACCACGAGTTGATCATTCCTACCAAGTTTCAGTTAAATAGGCCAAGTTGAACTTGACTTTAAGTTTGAAATAGTTTTTCAAAATGGCGGCCTTGATGGCCATATTGGATTTCTGATCGACCCGAAAAATAACAACACATGGTCAGGGAGTTGTCAGTAACATTCCCATGAAGTATCAATGAAATTTTAATCCCTTTGACAGTATTTCAGCTTAAGTTGAAAATGTAAAATGTTAACGGACGACGCACGACGACGGATAGCAATAGGTCATGATCACTTGAGCTAAAGCTCAGGTGACCTAATAAAAGGTAGTTAGAAGTAGAAAGAAAGATAAAGATCCCAAATATTGCAATGGGAGCAGCAGATTTATTTTGATCGCTTTTGTGTCCCCAAATAGAGCAGATGGTTCCCCACATTAGTCGCCTCCTACGATACGGCATGGATACATTTTGTAACCCGCGCCTCAGACCAGCCATGGTAGGCAAACCGTATACAAACTCCCACGCTCGCGTGTTCATTCCACAGCTTAATTTTAATTTTAGTACAAGTATGTAGTTCATCATAACAAACAGTACCGATCCTTGGCGACTTAAGGCCAGGGATGTACTACGAATACAGATCAGTAAAGAATGTACTATGGTTGTCTGATCCGTGGTGAATTTTTGAACGAGTTGTCACAGATATATCACAAGTACTACTACGATTGACCCAGGATACAATACGGACAGCTACGGACCACTACAGATTACCACGAATGATGCCGGATGGTATCTGTGGCTAATCCATGAATGTCCATGAATGTCTGACCGGGACATTATGAACTTTTTTTTTAAATTTATTCAAACTTATCAACAAATTAAGATATATTATTAGAAATTTAGTCTCCGTCAAAATTCACCCGCATGTGTTATTTGAGACTTGATTAACCAACCTTGAGATGTATGTCATATAATAACATGTTACATTTTATATTGTACTGCTCGAGAGTCCGAGACATTAGTAGTCATTGAAAACCACATGGACCTGAGAATTTATTTCAACTATATATTTGGACTAAACTAAGGTGTTCAGAGTCATTCTACATGTATTAGGGTTTAGATCAATTTTCTGTAAAATGACACCCCCAATGATCATATATACGAGAAGGGCGGAAAGCTCTCGATGTCGAAAAGTCGACCCCACCTAAATTTCTTGCATCAAAAACAACATTTCTAGTTGATCTATGGGAAATTCTTAGTGCCGTACGTTGAAAAGATGGATAATTTTTCTTTTTAAAACCTCCTATATGCACGTGAAATGTATTCTCCTTCAGCAGACATCATCTGAAATTTCCTCCGAAAACACACGCCATTTCAGAGTTTTAAAGTTTTTCTTGGTCATCGTATACCACTTTTTTGTATATTAATGAGGTTGACCTCAGCCTCGTGCAGAGACCTGTGGTTTGACTGGCTGGAAGCACAGCCATTTTTTCGCTAAAACAACCAACACTGCATGTTTTGGCACGAGGGTGAGGTGAACCTCATTAATATACAAAAACTGTAAAACAAAAATCCAATTTTTCGACATCAAGAGCTTTCCGTCCTTCTTGTATATATGATCGCTGGGTTGTCATTTTACAGAAATTCGATCTTAACCCCTAAAACATGTCAAATTACTTAGAACACCTTAGTTTAGATCCAAATATAGCTGTTACAAATGATCAGGTCCTTGTGATTGAAACCTTACTATTTTTCAACCCATGGGACCTGTCTGGTCTTTTTCGCTGGTTCCTCTTTATCACCACTTGAAGAAGCTGATTTCTCTTTGGCTCTTTCTAAAGCAGCGCTACCTCCTTTCAAAAAGGCATGCATTTTTTCTTTGTGCTTTTCTGGAAGAAAACAAATCGTGCAAAAATTGTTGACGTGACATTTTATCAACTAGATTGTAGACCGGTTCTCATTTAGAAATGTAAATTTATATATAAGCAATTTACTAGATTATTTTATTAAGATTTCATTGTTCCGTGGTTGTAATAAACATATATTTATTCGAAAAGGAAACCTACTTTAGTGGTACCTGTGTTCCAAAGTGTATTTCCCGCCAAGTATTGTCCCAGGAAATAAACAGGAAGTTGATATTTATGAATCTTCATACACAGGAGAACTCCACATACAAAGCGGCACCATGCAAGAGGCAGGCTTTGAGCGGGCCCATGTTCCTAGAGATGTAGACGTTGCGGCAGCTGCTAGAGGAGTTTGGCTTGTCAAAGTATGTCATCCTTTCGATTTCATTATTTTCTTTATCACTCTAGTCAAGTCTACCACACGTTTTCCCTGTCAAACAATCATACTTCCTGGACGCGCTGACAGCCAGCAATCCACATTGACACAGGGACCTGTATTTTTCGTTTATTTTACTTCTTTACACTTACAGTGTACTCTTCTATAATACATGTTGGTACAGTGCGTCTGAACGAGAAACCGAGTCACTGTGTGATCGGGCATATATCAGAAAGGCTGAAATCGAATACTAGAATCTTATAAGATTTTAAAATTGTAAAAGCTGGGACTCGATGCAAGGCCAGACAGGGGTTCGAACCCAGGACCCTCTGAACTCTAGATGGACGCTCTACCAATTAAGATATATCTGGTCGCCGACAATCAACCCATTTCAGTTCCGCTACAAAACAACCTGCCGATCGATACAGATCTACAAATGAAATTCATGTAATGAAGAATAACTGCTTTGGCCAGTACAATGATTACCAACTTTGAAAGATGGCCAGGACTCTGTGTTATGAATAACAAAGAAGTAATGTCCAAAATCAGTAGTGTGATCATGACTGAAGTGTTTTCCAAAGTTTTATTCTTCTTCTTCCTTTACAAGGATCAGACTCGGAGGTTTGAGTGCGCTTGCATGATCCTGGGAGGTGGCATTAAAAATGTTAAAAACAATTATTTTTGTTAATTTATACTATAAGATAAAAACAGAAAACACTTTATGGAAGGTTGAAACTAGCCAGGGCAGACCTGAAAGAGTTCAGGTTTGGCTCCTGTGCTAGGGATGATGGTGACGAATTCCAGTTAACAACAGCTGTTCTAGGGAAGAATGAATATTTATACAAATTTGTGTGGGTTGATATTTGATTAATTCTGTGGGCCCCTCTAGTTCTCCTGTCACCTGATGTTATGAATTGGTATGGATCAATAGCCACATGTCCGTTTATTATTTTATATAACATCATGAGCCTGGCTTTTGTTCTTGGCTGGGCTAGGGCCCGGGGGCTCCCAGTTAAGTGTATTTATCATGTTGGTGACACATCCAGGCTCTCTAGATCTATGATCATTAAATACGTATCTGGCAGCCCTACGCTGTACATTTTCAATTGCTAGGACCTGGTCTGAAATAAAAGTGTCCCAGCAAGTGGCTGCATATTCTAGTGATGGTCTTACTAGTGTGGTGAATGTCTGGGTTTTGACTTTGCTGGTGTTTACAATTATATATTGCGTGGTCAGAGCTATGAAGCGGTCTTGTTCCAACTAACTGAGGAAAATCAAAAGTGCTAATCAGTAATAATATATCTGATTCACGCTTCATATGATTATAATGTTATCTANTTAATAAAACTCGAAAATCGTTTTGGGTGTTCTATAAGCTGAGGACTAATGATGTCATGCATGTAACTACTATAGGCTCTTCTGGTCTCTTTTTGGATTTTATTTTCTTGTACCTGTCCCAGTCTTTTGTCTTGTGTGTTTTCTTGGCTTTGTTATAGGATCTTCGTTTTTGTTGGGCTAGCCTATTTATGTTGCTATTAGCCCAGGGATTGGTGAATTTTGACCTCGTTAGTTTTTGGGGTACGTGGGTTAACTGAATTAAGGAGGTTCCATGGGAGGTTGGTTGATAGCAAATACTTTGAAATTGAAATGAGACTACGTCATGATACAAGCTTTTATTGTTATAAAAGAAGATAAAGACTAATCTCATTCCTTTCTTTATTTCTATTCAAGGTCCCGAAGTATCTGTCTGAAAAGTGGAAGAAAAACTCAGGGAATAGCGATGTTGGAAAACTGAAAATAACTACATCTAAGTATGTTGGTTATTCCTTTATGGAAACTGCAATTTAACCTGCAAATGACCTCCATGACTTACGTACTGAACTTTTCTGCAGTGGCTTTACATTTGAAATACTCCTAAAAAAGACATACTTTTATCCAAAAACCAAATAATAAAATCTTAACTGCATTTACTTCTTTGACTGATTTCGATGACTTAAAATTAGAAAAGTTAACATGCTGAATTAACCTACAATTTACATGCTTTACATTCATTGCTGAGAATTCGGCAGTTGTGGCATATTACATCTGTCTGTTAAGTTTATGATTGATACATGCGTCAAATAAACTGTGTATAAATACTTGGTATTATCTTTTTATAGATTTCCTGATCAAAAACCCAATGTGGTGTTCACATTGAACGACAGTCTTGCCAACCAGAAGGTGCCAGGAGAACAGCCATGTCCCAAAGAACACAAGATGAAGCTCACTGGACTGGGAAACCAGAACCTTGTTATATTCTCACAAATCCCTTTGTCTGGAAAAAAAGGTAAACTAGTCAAGGACATACCTGGTTTTTAAAGGAAACACTTGTGATGTCTGTTTCACTTTTGATTTGATGCTTATTGAATGGATAATAGACAAAATTTCCAAAGTCATTCCTCATTTTACAAAACTCATCCAATGACAGAAAACTCCAGCACCTTAAATGAGATTGAATTTGAAAACTATTTGATTTCAACATCTATTCTAATTTAAATGTAAACTTTTCCACAAACACCTACATCAAAAGATTATGACGTATCAACTGTGAACTGAAAACAAGGCATTGTTGACCAATTATATTGACAATTTTCTATAACTTTTCCCCAAATTTTTTTTCACTGCATTATTTATTTCACCACGAAACACACATATATGCTGATTTAGAATATTTCTTAAATGGATCATGCTTGTTAAATTAAGGGAGACAACTTGAACATCAACCACAAATTGTAGACTTGTAATATGAAATATCTGGATTGTATTGCAGAAGGAGAAGCAGGAACGTCGGAGTCCATGCCCCTAGGTAATTAGAAGGAGTCGACAATGCTTTTTAAAAACAAAAATATCAGTATTTCGAGTTTAGTTACATATCTACTGTAAACTTTGTTTGATCATACAGTGGCAGAGGTAAGCAATAATCTTTCCCTGTATGGAAAGTATACTGACATGCTCCAACATGCAATAAAACATTAGATAAAGTGCATACCAAACCTGGTGCCCTTTTTCCTCAAAAAGACTATGGAGAATTTCTCTTTTCCATCAAAAATATATTAAAAGAAAAAAGTCAGTTATTTCAGACTACCTATGCATGTTAAATTGCATTTGTAAAATATTTAATTTACTATTGGAAGTTATGTGAAAAATGTTGATAATTTTACCAATTGTAATGCCTGATTTTGATTTTTCTGAGTTGAGTATTTCAAGCAAAACAGCATTGTTTTGACAGTTAGTGGAAGGGGAAGAAAATACCAATGAAACAATGCCTAAGGAGGTTTTGCCAGAGAGAAACAATGATTTAAAACTTGATATGATTTGAGAACGAGTAATATTTCAACTTGTAATAATGACATTTTTTTTTAGAGAAAATTGCCCTAGAGGGTCGAGTCATTCAGAGGGCAGAGTGTACTCCATTAATCAAAGACAATAAATATCTGGACCTGAAAAGGTAAAGTTGACAATAATTGCCTGCTATTAGATTATACTAGGTTTATTATTAAAATTTAAGAAAAAATAGTTTCCATAACTCGTTGAACCAGATTCTACCAAATTCTATTAAAATTCATTTTCACGAGACCAAATACAATTATTTTTTATATTATTAGTCCCCCATATAATTCTGATATCGGGAATACTTTTTATATGGAATGTGTCAATATTTAATTTCATTGTCAGATAAATGACTTATAACTTTCAACAGTTTCAAAACTTTAACCAAAATTATGTTTTTGAGGTGATTGTTAGGTTGATTTGAGTGTTATCTCTCCAATCTGTTTAACTGTAAAAGTCGTAAGATTTTTTAAAAATGTTTGAAGACGTAAATTATACTTTTTTGTGTTAAAACTACTATTTATTCTACAGACTTCAAACAGAGGTGACCAACCGTCCGAAGAGAGAAGTCATACAGATTGACACTGTAGTTGCATCATACAAGCCTGTCAGTAATCACAAGTTCAATGTAAGTATAATCATACTAAAACGTATTCAATCTTCTTGTTGTGGAACAGGTTTTTGATGAATATTTAATTGGTATTCAATTAATATTCACAAAAGAAACAGGTGAGTTGAAAAAGCCCAATAGATCTCTTTTGTTACTAGTTGTAAATTAAGAAATATTTTTATATTTGATCTAAATTAAAATGACACGAGTGAGTAAAATGTGGCATTGAGTGAAGAATATAGAGACTTTAAAGTGAGAGATTAGTAAGTAAAGGTATGTAACATGTGAAATAATAGGCTTTATAATGATACCTGCAAGGAAACAGACTTTGGACATCAATACTACTAGCCCCGGGCATTGGAATGCTATCTGTTCTACATAGAATGAAATGAAACACATCTGAACTGTCTCCCTTAGGTAATGAAGGATATTCAATAATATTTCCAAGGAAACCAAGTTTAGATCAGGTAGCTTTCAACCAGAGCCTAGGATAGAAATGATATATGTTAAAAAAAACACTGTTCTAGATAGAAATGTTAACATACCAGAGTTGCCTCCCTTAGGTTATGCATGACGAGAAGGTGAAGAATGAAGGCAAACGTCTGCGGGCGGACAAGGACAAAGTTATGGATATGCTCTTCAATGCCTTTGAAAAACATCAGTATTACAATGTAAAAGATCTGGTGACTCTGACAAAGCAGCCTATTGTAAGTTTTCATCTTGTTTAATCTCCTTTTGCATAGAAACGTTTACATAGATATCAGAAATGTGTCTCTGAAGACTTTATGTTTATAGTATTTGAAGTAATGACAGTAATAAGACTAGTACAAAAATATTAAAGCAAAACAACATCTCAATAAAACACTAATGATTTTATTGTTATTGCTTTATTAATACATTTCATTTCCTTATTCCATCAAAGCAAAACAACACCATTGATCTCAATAAAGAATGTATTGTTATTGCATCATTAATACATTTCATTTCCTTTTTCCATTTTTATCCTGTAAATTACTATTTTTTTCAGATAAATGTATTGTTCATGTTGATATTTATTTAAGTTGTTGGAGGACAAAGTAATTAAATGTTTTGAAGATGTCTAATAACTGGTGAAAAAAATTTGATTGAAAGGAACCTTACAAAGTTATTTATGTTACTGAAGCTCTTCTGTTTGTTTATTTAGACATATCTGAAGGAGATATTGAAAGAGATATGTACTTATAACATGAGAGCTCCTCACCGCAACATGTGGGAATTAAAACCAGAGTACAGACACTACAAGGAGCAAGGACCATCAGATGGATAATAGCTCTCCGCCACAACCACATTTAGCTTGTTTCCATCATAGCAGCTCCCCACGGTGACAAGAATTGGCTTGTTGCCATCATAGCAGCTCTCCATGGTAACAAGATTTGGCTTGTTGTCATCATATCAGCTCTCCATGGTAACAAGATTTGGCTTGTTGCCATCATAGCAGCTCTCCATGGTAACAAAATTTGGCTTGTTGCCATCATATCAGCTCTCCATGCTTTCTATGGTAAGAAGACTTGGATTGTTGCCAATAAAGCCCACTCCATGGCATTTAGAGTGTGCTTGCTGCAAACATAGTAGCTATCCACAGAAACTAAACTGGGATTGTTGTGAATTTAACATCTCTCTAATGCAACAACTTGCTTTGTCAATGAAGCACTTTCCCACAGCAACTTGACTTAGCTTGCTGGTAATTAAGCAACTGTCAAAGTCAACGAGGCTTGGCTGGACATTTTGAAGCAGCTTTCCAACTTAACCCTTTCACCCCTATGTAATTTTAGTAGACTCTACCATGCATTGATCTGGCTGAGTCTATTATTGTCTACAGTGGTGAAAGGGTAAATGAGTCTTGGCTTGTTGCCAGTACAGCAGTTTTCTACCACAATGTTATAGTTTAACTTATACCCGGTACAAAACTTTTACAGAACTTCTCTTTCATGACCAGGCCTGGATTGTGCATGTATAGACACAGTAAACTTTTGATATAGTTAGATAATTGAAGATCTATGTTTGTGAGTTGAAATCAGATATTTTAATACTATATGTTTCCAGTTAAGCATTTAGGTAAATATAATGACAGTAAAAAGATGATAGATATATTGGAACATAGTATTTCAACTTCTTGGTTGCAGCGGGACTGTTGAAAGCAAGATGTCAAATCAACAAATTTAACTTCAGTTTAGAATGGTTGATGACTCATTATTTGTCATTAGATTTGCTGCTAAAGAAAGCTGTTTTCTTGCATGTACACCTGTATATGGTGTATCCTATTCTCAAAATTATCCTTTCTTGAAATTTTGTTAATGCTTAAATCATTTTGTGTCAAACATTGTTAATACATTAAGCCCACCTCAGTTAAATTTTTAATTGCACTACTGACAAGAATGTTGTTCACTGTTGTTCTAAAATGTTCAAATTTGATAAAAAAAAAATCACTTTCAAGTTAGATAACAAATTCAATGTGAGTTCGAGAAAACTGACATGGTTTAATACATTAGTTATATGATCAAACATTTTCAAGGGTCCTGGATGCAAATTTATAAACATGCATTACATTAAGATATCGGGAAATTGTCATTACAAACAACTGAAGCATTGTGCATGTGGACTCATCATATTTTTACCTGATAAAGTATTGAAAAAAATATTTAGCCACAATTGATCGTATTTAACAGGACACCGTTAGATATCCTGTATGTAGTTGGTCACAGATCAACATTGTTTTAACCCTTTCACCACTGTAGACCATAATCGACTCATCCAGATCAGTGGTAGAGTCTACTAAAGTGACCTAGGGGTGCAAGGGTTAACTAAGTAAAGTGTAAAACGTGTGTTTTGTTATTGAATTGGTGCAGTTATTCATTTCTTTGACATCCATTCACCTCATGTTTTAGGCAATGTCATACATGTAGGTACACAGCTATTTCAGAATTATAACCACATACAAAAACGTACCAAAACAAAATTACTCTTTATCTTTTGTCAAGGAAATCTCCTGTTTATAAATAAGCCATGACAACAGATTGTAAAGGATGGATAAAATATGGTGTCAAATATGGATATGGAAGTGAAAAAATGTAAGAAAGGGAAAGATATTGCTGTGTTGGATGTTATATATATTGGGGTGTCGGATAGAAGTGTTACTTGTATTGACACTAGATTGTAAGTGGTCTGTTGTATATATACTGAGGCATGTAAGTGTATTTAATATACATGAGTATATAATAGTTTTACAGTGATGAATGAGAGTATTTGTAGTACATGATGGTTGTATGTTACTTTGTTTAAAAATTTGTACGTTGATGTGACTTCCTTTGTAAGATATTTTTATGTACAACATTGAGAGTATATTTACTTACAGTCTATCTCATTTCAATAGGTTTCTGTATTGTTCATAGCATGAACTGAATATCAACCATTTTTTTTCCAAATAATAACTTGTTTTACTCAGTTTATTGATTTCTCAAAAAAAGCTACAAAACTTGAATAAAAATTTATAATATAAAATTTGAATATTTTATTTATAACTACAGAAAAAAGAACTAACGATGAAAAATATCCATATATTTTACTAGTTCTTGAAAATATTTCTTCAAATGTAGGTTTTGGTGTTCCTAGAACAACCCTGCAAGTTAAAGGAAGAGATAAAATAGCAAAAATTGATTTATTCAAATTAAGGAGTTCAAGCAGTTTGAATGGTTAGTAAGAATTTGTTTATAAAATATTGTTGTTAGATGCTGATTTCTGACGAGTATGTACAACAAAATTTCAAGGCCTACGATTACGTTTACAGGTCTACCAGGCTTTTACTCCTAAAATATATTAAAACGTCCGTCAGCTATACTATAATTCCTCAGGTGAATTGGAAATATAATTTGTGTGATCTGTTGTTAGATTGAGTATTTTGTATGAACGTTTGGTGCATATGTCTTTTAAAGTAAAAACAATAAAAGACTATAAACAGATCATTGTAACTTTGCTGTTGTTTTTTAGCCCAACATCATTTGATGGTGGGCTATTCAAATCGCCCTGCCTCCGTGATCCATCGTCCGTACTTAAACAATTCTTGTTATCAATATTTCTCAGGAAGTACCAGAGAGATCTTTCTCAAAATTTATATGTAGGTTCCCTTTGGTCCCTAGTTGTGCATATTTACTTTTGAGACTGATCAGATAAACAAAATGGCCGACAGACAGCCATCATGGATTTTGACAGTGAATGTTTGTTATGGTTATTTCTCAGGAAATACTGGAGAGATCTTTCTCAAATTTTATATGTAGGTTCCCCTTGGTCTGTAATTGTGCATGTTTCATTTTAAGACTGATCGGATAAACAAAATGGGCGATAGACCACCTTCTTGGATTTTTAGGTCACCTGAGCTTTAACTCAAGTGACCTATTGCTATCCGTCTTCTTCCGTCGTCTGTCGTCTGTAACATTTTACATTTCCAACTTAAGCTGAAATACTGGCAAAGGGATTTCATAAATATATCATGGGAAGGTTACTGACATCTCCCTGACCAAGTGTTGTTATTTTTCGGGTCGATCAGAAATCAAATATGGCCGCCACGGCCGCCATTTTGAAAAACTATTTCAAACTTAGTCAAGTTCTTCTGGGCTGATTGAACTGAAACTTTGTAGGAACGATTGACACATGGTCCTGACAAAGTGTTGTTATTTTTCGGGTCGATCAGAAATCCAATATGGCCGACACGGCCGCCATTTAAAAAAACAAAACTATTTCAAACTTAAAAACAAGTCCCTATAGGCCGATTTAACTGAAACTCGGTCTAGGAATGATCAGCTCATGGTCCTTACAAACTTAAGTTAACGTTATACTTAACTATTTTGTACTCAAATTGGTACATATTTTAACAACAAAAATAAATACTGTAGGACTCAGGTGACCGTTTAGCCACATGGGCCTCTTGTTACAGTGAAGGTTTGTTATCGCTATTTCTCGGGAAGTACTGTAGGGATCTTTCTCAAGTTTGATATGCAGGTTCCCCTTTGTCCCTGGTTGTGCAGGTCTACTTTTGACACTGATCAGATAAACAAAATGGCAGACAGGCAGCCATCTTGGATTTTGACAGTGAATGTTTGTCATCGCTATTTCTCAATAAGTAATGTAGAGATCTTTCTCATATTTAACATGTAGGTTCCCCTTGGTCTGTTGTTGTGCATGTTTAATTCTCGGAATGGCCAGATAAACAAAATGGCCGACATGCAGCCATCTTGAAATTTTACAGTGAAAGTTTGTTATCGCTATTTCTTAGGAAGCACTGGAGAGATCTTTCTCAAATTTTATATGCAGGTTCCCCTTTTTCCCTGGTTGTGCATGTTTACTTTTGAGACTGATCATATTAACAAAATGGCTGACAGGCAGCCATCTTGAATTTTGACAGTGAAGATTTGTAATAGCTATTTCTCAATAAGGACTAGAGATCTTTCTCAAATTTGACTTGTAGGATCCCCTTGGTACATGTATGTAGTTGTGCATGTTTTCTTATAAGACTGATCGGATAAACAAATCTTTGATTTTGACAGTTGAGGTTTGTTAGTGCTCTTTCCCAGGAAGTAATGGAGGGTTCTTTCTCAAATTTTATATGCATGTTCCCCACTGTCCTTTAATTGTTAGCTCACCTGCCCGAAGGGCAAGTGAGCTTATGTCGTGGTGCGGTGTCCGTCGCCCGTCAACTTTTCCTTTAAACAACTTCTTCTGAAGAATGAAATGGCCTAGAGTCATGATATTTGGCTGAAAGCTTTTTTGGTAGGAGCCCTACAAAGTTTGAGAATGAAAATGACCTTGACCTTCTTTCAAGGTCACAGGGGTCAAATATGTCAAAAGCTTCAAATGACATCTTCTGAAGTACTGAAAGTTATAGAATCTTTATATTTGGTTGATGGCTTCCTGGGATAGAGCCCGACAACGTTTGAGGATGAAAATGACATTGACCTTCTTTCTAGGTGACAGGGGTCAAATGTGTTAGACATTTCAAACGACTTCTCCTGAAGAGCTGAAAGGTATAGAATCTTTATATTTAGCTTGTAGCTTCCTAGGAAAGAGCCCAACCAAGTTTGAGAATGAACATGACCTTGACCTACTTTAAGGTCACATGAGGCAGATATGTCTAACGCTTAGAACAACTTCTTCTGAAGAACTGAAAGGTATAAAATCTTAATATTTGGCAGGTGGCTTCCTGGGAAAGAGCCAAACAAAGTTTGCGAATGAAAATGACATTGACCTACACTCAAGGTCAGAGCGTTCAAATATGTCAAACAGTTCAAACTACTTCTTCTGAAGAATTAAAAGGCATACAATTATAATATTTGGCTGGTGACTTCCTGGGATAGAGCCCAACAAAGTTTGAGAATGAACATTAGTTTGACCTACTTTCAGGGTCACAGGGGTCAAATACATTCTCTTTTGAAGAACTGAATGGTATAGAATCTTTATATTTGGCTTGTAGCTTCCTAGGAAAGAGCCCAACAAAGTTTGAGAATGAAAATGACCTTGACCTACTTTTAAGGTCACATGAGGCAGATATGTCATACACTTCAAACGACTTCTTTTGAAGAACTGGAAGTTATAGAACCTTAATATTTGGCTGGTTATTTCCTTGGAACTGGCCAAACAAAGTATGCGAAATAAAATGACCTTGACTTACTTACAAGGTCACAGTGTTCATATATGTTAAACAGTTCAAACTACATCTTCTGAAGAATTGAAAGGTATAAAATTATAATATTTGGCTGGTGACTTCCTGGGATAGAGCTCACCAAAGTTTGCGAACGAAAATGACCTCAACCTACTTTAGAGGTCACAGAGGTCAACAACATTTTAATGGATTTGTTCTTAAGAAACTAAAAGGAATGGATTCATAAGATTTGGCTGGTAGCTTTTTGGAATAGAGCTAACCAATTTGAGAAGGAAAATGACCTACTTACAAGGTCACAGGGGGAAATATGTCAAGCAACTTCTGAAGAAGAATCAAAAAGCATAGAATCTTATAATAATATTTTGCTGGTAGTTTCAACAGATGGAGCCAACAAAGTTTGCGAGGGAAATATTTTTAGTGCAATATAATATTTAATGAGAATATTTTGCTATGACTGCTTAAATATTCAGGTGAGCGATACAGGCCCTCTTGGGCCTCTTGTT